GTCGTAGATCCAGGAACCTTCCGACAAACCTTCCTAAAACCATCAGGGAAGTTCTGGGATTCCTGGAATCTTCCAAAACAACCACCCTAAACCCTCCCTCAGGCAAGTTCCAGGATTCCTGGAACCTTCCGGAAGGTTCCAGGATTCCTGGAACCTCCCAAACAACCCCCCTAAAACCTTCCCCGGGGAGGTCCCAGGTTCCTGGGATCATCCAAAAAATCGTCCCAACACATGTCTCAGGAAGCTTCCAAGATTCCTGGAACCTCCCCCCCCCCAAAAAAAAACAGACTAAAACCGCCCTCAGGAAGACTCTTGGATTCCTGCAACGCCCCCAACAACTTCTGCAGGAACGTATCAGGATTCCTGGAACCTCGCAAAGAACCTTCCTGAAACCTTTCTCAGGAACGCTCCAGGATTCCTGCAACGCCCCCACAAAAAACCTTCCTGAAACCTTCCTCTGGGAGGTTCCAGGATTCCTGGGACCTTCCAACAGCCTTCCTAAACCATTCCTCACGAAGGTGTTCTGGAAGGTTTTTGGGCGACCAGCCCCTCCTGGAACCTTCCTGGGGAAGGTGTTTGGAAGGTTGTTGGAAGGTTCTGTTGGAAGGTAGGTGGAAGGTTTGTGGAAGGTTTGTTGGAAGGTGTTTGGAAGGTTGTGGAAGGTTGTTTGGAAGGTAGTTGGAAGGTATGTGGAAGTCTGTTTGGAAGGCTGTTTGAAGGTTTTTGGAATGCATTGGGCGGCGTCGCTAAATGTTAGAGGTTGCTGGAGGGTGTTTGGAAGGTTGTTTATGGGTTGTTTGGAAGGCTTGTGGGCGGTTGTTGTAAGGTTGTTGAGAGTTTTCTGGGGACAACCAGTCTGAAACCACTGACGCATTTCGGCGATCGCTACCTTGTCGGCGATGAATGAGAGCTTGTCGAGGATTGCAGCGTCCTGCTTGGTCATGCGCTCGAGGATCTCGTTCGAGTTCGGGCCCGCGCTCTGGGCCACCACCTGCTTGAGGGCCTCGACGGGGAGGCTCGCCGCCGTGGCGCGCTCGGCGGCCTGGGACATGGCTGAGGCTCGCGACGCACTCAAGGGCAACGATGCGGGGGGATAAGCATTGGGGGCAACATCGACCTGGAATCGGCGATACATCGCCGATGCATCGGCGATGCGCGCCCGATCGTGAATCCGCACGTTCCTGGGCAGGCTCAGCAAGCCAATCCCCCCCTATCGCTGCCCCTGGGGCGTAGAGGCTCGGCGCCTCGAGGGGGCTCGGAAGCTTGGAGTCTCGGAGACTCGGGGACGCTCGAGCCTGGGCAGCTGCGGGGGCGCAGGAGGAGGAGGAAGAGAAGGAGGAGGAAGGGCCACGAACCGTGAATGATGCGCTAAAACAATTAATTAACTCCAATGCTCTGCCTCCTCGAAAAACGCAATACAATCAAAATCGTATCGGTCCCCATGGCCCTGCCACACGTTCCTGACTCGGGAACGGCTGAGAAAATGAGAACCCCATGGCCCTGCCGCACGTTCGTAACTTGGGCAAACTGAACTGGTGAGAATCCCACAGCCCCGCCACACGCTCGTGATTGCGGACGCTGGTGCGGTGAGACCACTATGGCCATGCTCAGCGTTTTTCATGCTGTTGCGAGTCAACAGGAGATGATAGCAACTTCGATTCGCAACTTCCCCCGTGGAATATAAACTTCGGCCTCCGCGCCTATCTCCACAATCAAATCCTGTTGTACGGGGAAAATAAAAATAAGAGGGGTTAAGGGGGGGTACTTTATTATTGCCCGCGGTCGGTTACCACCACCACTACGAATAACAATAGCACTACGACTACAACGTATACCTCCACTACTACTCAATTCATGCCACTGGCCTCGCGAACATTTCTCCTAACGCGACAACGTTGCCCAAAGAACACTCGAAGGCAAATGCATGCTGTTGCGTCCAGGCCACATACATGCTGTTGCGCCCAAACCGCTTACATCCTGGTGCGGTGCAGCGACAGAAACCGGTCGCTGTTTAGAGAAATCGCAGGAAGGCGTGCTGTGGCCCAATCGGGCGGCATTGGCTGCATGTCTCGATGGAGGGGGAGAGAAAAAGCGATAAGATGGAGAGAAAGAGAGAGCGAGACAGAGAAAAGAAAATAGAAACAAAAAAAAAACGCCTGACGGAGGGCCCCACCATAAGAAATTGTGGATACCGCGTTCTGGGTCCATCGTTCGGCGGGCCTCCCTATGGGGTCACGAAACGTGAGCGCTGTGCCGAAATGGGCGGGGAACCGCATGCGAACCCTGCCACTGAGGCCTGGAGTAGAGCTCCCTATGGGGACGCGAAACGTGTGAAACGTGTGAAAGGTGTGCGAAATGGGCGGGAAACCGCATGCGGACCCTGCCACTGGGGCCTTCGGTGGAGCTCCCTATGGGGCCACTGAACGTGAAAGAGGCGTGCCGAAATGGGCGGGGAACCGCGTGCGGACCCTGCTACTGGGGCCTTCGGTGGAGCTCCCTATGGAGCCACGAAGCGTGTGAGGGGCGTGTCGAAATGGGAAGGGAACCGCATGTGGACCCGGTGGAGCTCCCTATGGGGCCACGAAACGCTGCACTACGCGGGGGGACCGCATGTGGGCACCCTGACCACGGCCTTCGGTGGAGCTCCCTGTGGGGCCACGAAATGCTGCACTGGGTGGGGGGACCGCATGCACGCACCCCGACAAGATCCTTCGGTGGAGCTCCTTGTGGGGCCACGAAACGCTGCACTGGGTGGGGGGACCGCATGCGGGCACCCCCACTAGAGCCTTCGGTGGAGCCTCCTATGGGGCCACAAAACGTGTGAGGGATGTGCCAAAGTGAGGGGGGTGACGGAGGAGGAGGAGGAGGCGGAGGAGGAGGAGGAGGAGGAGGAGGAGGAGGAGGAGGAGGAGGAGGAGGAGGAGGAGGAGGGAGGAGAGGCGAGGAGGAGGGAGAGGAGGAGGAGAGGAGAGGAGAGGAGAGGAGGAGAGGAGAGGAGAGGGAGAGGAGAGGAGAGGAAAGGAGAGGAGAGGAGAGGAGAGGGAGAGGAGAGGAGAGAGGAGAGAGGAGAGAGGAGAGAGAGAGGAGAGAGGAGAGAGGAGAGAGGAGAGAGGAGAGGGGAGAGGGGAGAGGAGAGGAGAGGAGAGGAGAGGAGAGGAGAGGCACGCGAGGACCGTCTCTTCAAAACGATGACCCAACACCACAGGATGGTTGGGAAAAATGAAGGGGATGGCTGGGGTGGGGGCGGGGTGAAATGGCAGGTCGTTGCGACGCCAACGCGATTCGGGACCAAGGCTCCTCTGAGGCCTGTTAAGAATCTGGTGGGCCCGGTTTTTGTCTGGCCCGTGTGCTGGGCACAGGACATAGATATGATCGCGGCCAGACGCTTGATAGGCGATTCCCGCCGGCACTCGTCGGCATGGCGCCCGCAGGCACAGCGTCAGTAGCGGCACTCGCTGTGGCTCCGCGCCTCCTTGCTGGCGCTCATGCTCATGCTGCTGCTCGGAGGATGACCAGTCGAGCCAACGGCGGCCCTCCCCAGCCTGTTTCGTCCTTCTTGGGTCTCCTGGAGGCTTCTCGTCGCAACGGCTGGATCCGCCTCGAAAGACGCGTTCGGATGGATCCCAGAAGAGGTCCAGGGATGGATCTTGACCGCAGTTGGGGCGCGTCTGAGTCGCCGACCCGCGCTGAAGTGCCCGCGCGCCAGCGCGGCCTCTGAGACGCGCTGGGCAGTTCCCATCGGCAAGCGCCATCGCGGCCGCGAAACGCGTGGGGGCGCGCACGAAACCGAGAAACTCAACGATTCGATCGCAATTACAATCAAAATTGCTCACGTTTGGGACGGCCCCCCCCGCCCTTATTGAAGTACAATGAATTACAGGACCCCCTGCAGGGGGACCCCCTGAGATCATCCATTCCTGTAATACACCTGCATTAAAGATGGAGCCTGGCCTGGGGCGTTTCGCCTGACACGTCCTAAGAAAAGAGTTCGCATGTGTGGCCCCTGGTTTGGCCCGGTTTGGTTTGATTTGGTCGGGCGCCCTCCCCTGAGACATCCTCACAATTTGCCCCGTTTGGCCCCTTGCTTGGCCTGGTTTGGGGCCCGTTTCCCTTGAGACGTTCGCACACGTTGCTTGGTTTGGTTTGGTTTCGGCGCGGTATCGCCTGTGACGTCCTTACAAATAGCCTGGCTTCGCTTGGTTTCGGCACCGACTCGCCTGAGACGTCCTCACAAATTGCCTGGCCTGGCTTGGTTTCGGCGCGGTTTCGCCTGAGACGTCCTCGCAATTCACTTTGTTTGGTTTGGTTCTGGTGCGGTCTCGCCCGAAGCGTGCTCACGAGTTCCCTGGTTGCGGTGCAAGCCCACACCGTCGCAAGCTATGTAGTGCAAAGCCTGTGGTGCAAAGTATGCGGTGGAAGCCGTGTTGAGCAGGCTATGCGATGCAAACCCACAACGTCGCAAGCTGCGCGGCTTGGTGCAAGTTGTGTGGTGCCAACCCACGTCGTCGCAAGCTATACGTTGCACTCTACATAGTGCAAAGAATGCGTTGGAAGCTGTGTGGTGCAAGCTATGTGGTGTGGACCCGCATCTTCTCGTGACATTGGCCCAGTATCCGGAGTTAGGAGACAACGCTCCCGAGCCTGTACCGTTACGTTACCCTTACGGCACCACCGAGTAGCGTCAGGAGTGCCATGACTACTGTCACCACTACTATGCTCGACCAATTGTCCAGACCCGTCCAGGCATTTTCTCAGACTGCACTCCTCCTCTGGCCCATTCGCTCCACCTTCTAGCAAAGAACCCATCAATCCACCCTCACGTCTCAGATACTACCTTCTGGTCAAAGAAGAGTGGGAAAGAAGGTACAAGTTGATCGACAATGGGCATGAACTCTTACTAATGGGGCATTGCTGGTCATGCACAGGGACACGCCTCAGCACCATGAATACATCCGAGTATCTGAGCATTGCCTGCCAACGCAAGCGAAATCGCAGAAAGCCTCAGCTGGTATCCTGACCTTCGCCTGGGGCCCTTTGCCCTTGGCCTGCGGACACGGGGGAGGGGGGGGAACGGCAGGTGGGACGGGGCACACAGCACTTCAAGCCAGGCGGCTCAATGCATGCCCTGCCCACCCAGCGCGACAAGCCCCTTCCCTTTCTCCGTACCCTCCCCGTCTGCCTCCTCTCCCTTTTCTCCATCCTTCACACGGCATTCTTATCATCCTCTTTCCCCCCGCAACCACCCAGCTAAGACGAAGCCAGGACTGGGACAAAATCGGACCAGGACAGATCGGAGATCTCAGATCCAGCGGTTCTGGAGGATGTATCCGGTGGCGCGGCCGTTCCAGCGCGCTCTAGAACGATCCAGAAGCGTTCCAGAACGCTCTGGAATCACTTTTCCCGGCCCAAGCCCCGTCCGACCAACCGCCGACCCCTTGTGGGTCCCTAGGCGTGTGAGATAGTTCCCCCCCCGTAACCCCCCCAAGGGACCCCAAACCAGAGATTTGACCCCCCCCCCTCGCCCCGGACGAGCGCATCACGAAGCTTTTCTGGGCCCAAGAGGGCCTCAAGACGGGCCTAGAAAGCCCCAAGAGGCCTCCAAAACGGCCCACGAGGGCCCCGAGACGCTAAACGAGCGCTCCAAGACGCCCTGGCTGGCCCAAAGATGGACTCAGAGCTCTCCAAGACGGCCCAAGAGGTCCCCAAGAGGCCCCAAGAGGCCTCCAAGATGCGTCCCAAGAGGGTCCCTAGACGCAAAAATTAGCCCATTCCCTTCGTAAAACCTACAACTTTTATACGTTCGCCTTCTGGGCTTTCCGATGCTCTCAGACGGCCCAAGAGGACCCCAATACCGCCCCAAGACGGCCCAAGAAGTCTCCAAGAGGGTCCCAAGATAGCCCAAGCGGGCCTCAAGACAGCCCAAGAGGCGTCCAAGACGGCCCAAGAGGGCCCCGAAGACGGCCCCAAGAGCGCTCCAGGAGCGCTCCAAGTCGCCTCCCAGAGAGCTCAATATGGTCCCAGACGGTCCAAGAGCGATCAAGGACACCGAAGATGGCCTCCAGCGGTCCAAGATGCCCCCAAGAGGCCCCAAGAGGCATCCAAAATACGTCCCAAGAGGGCCTCTAACCGCAAAAATTGGCCCGTTTCCTTTGTGAAACGTAGATGTTTCACAAATTCGCCTTTTGGGCTTTCCGACGCTCCCAGACGGCCCCAGATTCCTTCAAGACCGCCCCAAGACGGTCTAAGAAGCCTCCAAGAGGGTCCCAAGACAGCCCGAGAGGGGCCCAAGACGGCTCCAGAGGCGCCGAAGACGGCCCAAGAGAGCCCTGAAGACTGCCCCAAGAGCGCTCCAAGAGCGCTCCAACTGGCTTCCAAGAGAGTTCCACATGGTCCCAGACGGTCCAAGAGATGGCCTCCAGATGGCCCAAGACGCCCCCAAGAGGCCTCCAAGGTGCGTCCCAATATCGTCCCCAGACGCAAAAATTGGCTCATCTCCTTCGTAAAACCTACAATTTTCATACGTTCGCCTTCTGGGCTTTCCGATGCTCCCAGACGGCCCAAGAGGACCCCAATACCGCCCCAAGTCGGCCCAAGAAGTCTCCAAGAGGGTCCCAAGATAGCCCAAGCGGGCCCCAAGACAGCCCAAGAGGCGTCCAAGACGACCCAAGAGGGCCCCGAAGACGGCCCCAAGAGCGCTCCAGGAGTGCTCCAAGTCGCCGTGTGGGCTTTCCGACGCTCCAAGACGGCCCAAGAGGCCCCGAAGATAGCCCCAAGACACCCCAGAAGAACCCCCAAAGACGGCCCCACGACGGCCTAATATGGCCCCAAGACGGCTCAAAACGGCCCCAAGACGGCCCAAGAAGGCTCCCAGACGGCACCAAGAGGAGCCGAAGAGGGCGACCAAAAATTAAAAAATTCGACTTGTCCGCCCCCGGGAGCCCCAGGGAGCCCGAAGAGTGCCACAAGAGGCCGCCAAAGGCCCCCAAAGGGCGGCCAAGACGCCCCAAGGAGCTCCCAAAAGGCCCCCAGGAGGCCACCAAAAGACTCCCAGAGCCTCCGAAACAGCTCCCAAGTGGCGCCAAAACTGCCTTCCAGAGAGCCCTGAAGACGGCCCAGGAGGCCCCGAAGACCGCCCCAAGACCGCCCAAGAGGCGCCCAAGGAGGCCCCAAGACGGCCCAAACCCAAGATGGCCTCAAGACGGCCCAAGAGGCTCCCAAGACGGCCCCAGAGGACTCCAAGACAGCACCATGAAGAGCCCCAGAGGGCCACCAAAAATCTACAATATCTAGCTTTCCGCCCCCAGGAACCCCCAGGGGCACCAAAGAAGCACCCCTGGGGGCCCAAAAAGGAGTCGAAAACAAGCTGGTAAGCTTAGGTATGTGTTACGCTTTAAGCGTTGCCATATCCCAGGCTTCGGCTCATATCGCATGAGCAAGAGAGCAAGACGAAGCATGGGATCTGGAGTAAAGGATAGGATGGGCATCGTCAATGGAAAAGGTATTTTCCGATCTCTGATGCAAGTCGTGCGCCTCGGTGAGGCACAATCACATATTTGGCCGGGCCCGGCTTGAGCCAGGCACGGCAGCGGTACATGCTCGATTTATACCTCGCCTTTAACCTTCTCCGTTTAAAGTCGGAGGGGGAGGAGACGAGCAGGCACCGCACTTCTACATTATGCGGAAAAACAGTGCTAAGCAGCAGCGGCTGCCTACAAGGAAAGGGCGCGCGAGTAGCCTCGCTACCGGCGAGTTTCCTCGCTATTAAAGCGCACCTGCCCGCGGGTTTCCCCGCTAGCTCGGGAGGCAGGGCCGTCCTGAGACGACCTGCCCGCCCTATACGGTGTATGTTTCTTCAGCTCGTGCTTGAAGGATTGCTGGCCGGCCATTACTTGTAGGAGCAACGCGCGGTCAATACTACCTTTGGTATGACCATCGGCAGTCATATCCCGCGTGTCACACCATTGAACGCTTTCAACGATTCCGCGCTCCATCATCTGGCGGATCCAGCTAATGTGCCCAAGCAGAGTACATTCTGTGGGCTTCTTCAGATCTTTGCTAGACAAAGACTTGAAGACAGACTCGGCATCAATAGTCAGAGTGACTTTGATACATAGACCACCCATTTCCAATATGTTCTTTAACTGTGTGGGGGTCAATGGTCCCGAGTGTAGCTCGTGGAGCGTTACAATGGTCGGGTAGCAGTCTTCCAAGTTGTGGGCTGCTGCCAGTGTTTCCGCAGAGTAGCTCGAACGCACCTGCAGTCGATGAGACTTGCAGTATGCGTCCACCAGGTGCACGACGGGTTTCCCCGCTTGCGTGTGGCCACGCCTCAGCAGGTTAGCCCCGCGGATACCATAGCCTTTGACTTCGTCGTCTTCATCTCCGTTGAGACGACGATAGCCAGAATCGCTATGCAGGTCGACTTCTCCTGTTGGGGTCATAGCTTGATACACGATCTTCTTCGGACCTGCCTGTAGTTTTCTGGTAACCGCGTTTAGTCGTCGTACCTGGATGTTTGTCGGTTCCTGGATACGTTGTAGTGAGACAACATAGACCATCAGCCATACCTGCGTGATCAACGCATAGGCTAGAGCGCCACGAAGACTGACGAACATATCAGAAATCGTCTTTGTCGCTTTGCTCTCAGGATCAGCTCCTGTGAGTTCTGGATGTGTGATAGGACGAAGCTGTTTGATGTATTCGTCCTGATCAAGAGTGACGCTCCCATCATCGGTCTTGTTATACCGAACGGCACAATTTGTGTATGTGTGCTTGTTCAGTTTGCACTTCCCAAACGTATCTTCAACACACTTGACATACTTGTCAATAGCCTCTTCCTTCCCAGTCATATTGATGTCATCAACGTGCTTGGCTGTCAAGAGGTTTGAGCTCATCTCGAACTCTTCGTCGTATGAAGTAGGCTGTAGCCCAAAGCTCCTAGTGATGGACCTGAGCTTCAGCGAGAATGCCCTGGGAGCATCCTTCGTGCCCGTCCCCGGCTTCAGACACCGAAGACAATGCTTTGATTCGTCATATGACTCAAAGCCTGGCAGCGTGCGAAGGACAGCTGCTGACCCAGGTGGTAGTGTGAAGCACACCACACGCTCTTTCTCGCCCGTTGCCGCGGCGAGCTCGCCATAGGTCAGTCCCTTCAAGAAAGCCATGTTGATGTCCAGGGAAGCGATGATCCAAGCTTTGTTGCATGCAGCAGAACTTGCGAGCAGTCTCTGGCTTGACCTCCTTGCCGTGCCAGAGAAGGTTTCGACATCAAAGGCTTCAAGGTCCATAAAGCCACGGAGTACCAAGCGTAACCTGATCGTCCTTTCCATTTCGCCCTTTTCGTTCTTGACAAACTTCCATTTGTATACGTAGCGTGACGTCATGATGTTAGACGCTTTGCTCAAGTCAGTCATCTGGAAGCATTTGTTGTCAAGCCAAGTCTTCAATTCTGTGTAAAGGGCTTTGGAAACTTTGACCGGATTTGCTTGGATGTCGGCCTTCGTGAGTAGATCGTCTTCCTTGACGACCACGGCACGTTTGGAAGCAGCACTAACGTATACTCGCATAGTTGTGACGCTGCTGTCATCCAACAATCGGTGTTGCTGCTCGGACAGGACGACTTTGGACATGTCTGCTGTGAAGCAGAGCTCGATGTACTTCCCGTGCTCATCGGAGTCCAGATCATATTTACTGTCCGGATCCGTGGAGCATAAAGGAACGTAGTAAGAAGTGTCCATGTCGTATCCTGGCGGGTGACCCCGCTCCGGCAAGTGGCCTTGCACATCTTCACAGGTCGTAGAGACTAACACACACTGTGTGTCTGTCATGTATGTGGGAACTGTATGCATGACTTCCTCTGTGTCAGCTTCAAGGAGTGTTCTGTCATCCATCAGTTCAGCATACCACGACTTCAAGACAAAAGCATCCAGATCTTCTTCTGTTTCCTCTATGATGGTCGGGAGCCGACCATCGTTATCCGTAGGAGGCTCCTCAGGAGCAGCTGCTGGAGGTGATTCGCTTGGTGGTGGACCATCAGCGAGTTCCT